AGTGTCGGTCGGAACATTAAGTTTTGTTTTAAACTTGGTAAAACTTTTACCAAAACTCATCAAATGATGAAACAAGTTTATGGCGATGATTGTCTATCCCATAGCCGTATTCACGAGTGGTTTAAACGTTTTCAAAGTGGTCGTGAGGACATAAATGAGAAATGAGTCGAAACCCAAAAAATCGCGCCTGGAGAAGTCAAAAGTGAAGACAATGCTGATTTGCTTTTATGATTCCAAGGGTATTGTCCACAAAGAATTTGTTCCACCCGGCCAAAACGTTAATGCGGTATTCTACCTTGGAGTTTTGAAGCGTTTGGTAGCACGTATTCGTCGCATTCGGCCCGAATATCGCGAAGATGGAAATTGGCGTTTTTGCACGATAATGCGCTGTCTCATCGACCGACGCATGTGGCCGATTATTTGACCAAAAATCAAATTTTAACAATCAACAACTCCCCGTATTCACCTGATATGGCAACGTGCGACTTGTACCCTTTCGGAAAACTACATTTGGCCATGAAAGGAAACCGCTATGCTGACGTTGATGCCATCCAAAAGGCGACGACCGCCATCCTCAACGCTATACCGACAAATGACCTAAAAAAGTCATTCGATAACCTTCTTGAACGTGCAAAACGTTGTATTCAGGCGGAAGGAGACTATTTTGAAGGCGACCAATAAATTAAAAAAAAAAAACAAATAATATTAGTTTTTTAATAAAAGTCCTGAAACTTTTGAACCTTGTATTAGAGGATCTGACATCCTACTTCACAATAAATCTGCAATGGGTTCCAGGACATAGTGATATCCCTGGTAACTGCGAAGCAGATGAATTAGCCAGAACAGGCACCACTTTGCAACTAACCCCTGAAAAAGAGGGTATTTTTATGCCTCTGGCAACTTGCAAACACTTAATCAGCGAACATGCTATAAATATAGCAGAGTCTCGGTGGAGACAATCAATAACCTGCTCAACCAGCAGACTAACATGGCAGGAATGGCGTGAGTCGCACAAACCGACTACTAAAATTTAAAAGGAATGATATAAGAACTCTGATAGGAGTACTAACAGGTCACTGTCTAATTGGTAGACATGCCAGTAGACTAGGTGTTCCATACAACGACTATTGTAGAAGCTGTCAAGAAGTAGAAGAAGAGGAGACTGTAAAGCACATTCTATGCGAATGTAAAGCTCTATACAGGAAAAGAATCGCAACTATCGGTCGTGGATTCCTTGACGAGGTATCAGAAGTTGCTAATATAAAATTATTTGTACTGATGAACTTCATCAGAAGCACAGGTTGGTTCAGAGAGGAGACGATAGAGTGAGGGAACATTAGTCCCGGTGGTATCACAATGGGCCTCCTATAGGCCTAGGTGCGTCGTTAGACAGCTACTCTACCTACCTACCTAACTGACAGATATTGTTGCCGATAAAATTCTAGTAAAGCGCTTAACCAGCCAATGAGAAAACGGCCCAAAGTGTATCAACACATAACCATAGGCACCACAAAATCGTATGCATTCCCTCTGTACCATCTTGACTGTAAAAATTAAGTTTATATGGGAGGTGGGCATGGTTACCACCCAATTTCATCCTGGTTACCACCCAATCCATACACTGGGTGAGGAGTTGCTAGAAAAAAATGTCCCCGGCGAGTTTAGTTGATATAACTTTAATGGTTTGATAAGTATGTAGCTTAATCCTTATAAGAGACGGCGCCACGCCCACATTTGAAAAACTTTGACTTCTAGCACTTCATAGTTATCGATTAAGGAGATTTGGTAGGCGGGAGAATAATCTTATCCCGCCCATTTGCAAAACCAGCCCCCTCGAAGTACTAAGGAATAAGTGTCCTAAATTTCGCTAAGATATCGTTTGCCCGCACTCTTGTCATAGTATGTGATTAGAACACTTGAGCGGTTAAAGAAAATATGTATACTTTATGTATTATTATTTATGAACATTTCTCACTGAATAATTAACCAAAATAGATCTTTAGAAACAGTTTTTATTTAAACTCTACTTTTTTTGAGTATTATTTACATTTGCAATTTATTTTGTATATGAATACAGTAATATTTATGCTTGTAATAATTGTGCTTAAACAGTTTAAAGATTTTTCAAATTGTCAATACTATCCTACTTGAAAAACTGAACCAACGTACATAAAATTACTAATTTGACGACGAACTTAAAAATTTATTAAATTCTATCAAACATAACCAATTTTTTATTATTTCTTATACGATGTATGTCACAAATTTGAGCTGAATTGAAATTATTGAAATACTTTCAATAGTGCTTTCCAAAAATGTAAACTCAAACTTGATACATGCGTTTTCAACTACAACTAAGCATTAAGCAACTATAATTCAGATGCTTTTCGCAATAGGGGGGATAAATTATAGCAAAATAATTCAAACTTATTTAGAACTTACAACATTACAAGTATGGAATGCCTAAGTGCCTGAGTAGCCGAACATTACACACTTCTGCAATTCATAAGAATTCAAGGAGTGGAAAAATTACCAGGGCCAGCAAACCGTTATAATAAAAAATATTGTATGTGAATTTATTTTATTGTATTAAGAGGATTAGAGGAACATATGATAAATATTTAATCAATTCTAGGCACATTTTGTCTAATATGATTTGTGCTCTTAATATGAATACATATGAATCAATATACTTTTGCATAAAGTGTACCAGAAGAGACGATTTCATTTACTTACGACATATTAATATAAATTATGCTCGAAAAATATTTCCAAGCAATTTAATTAAGATAACTCACACATTGTCTGATATAACCGGCATAAAGTCAACTAAAATAATGAAATTGATTATATTTAATATATGGGGGCTAGAGTAATATAGGTATTGAGAAATTTTACTCCGTTTCGGCACTAAACTACAATATGTCTACGATAATACGCTCGCTTCATTAAAGTAAGATAGCTCATGTCCTCTTAAAACTCATAAAAGCAAAGGCAAACCCATTTGGTGGACCTTGGAACCATCGGAGATCAGATCTTCATAGAAGATTGATTGAAAAAGACCGATAAAGCGGTTCTAGCCACAAGTTGGAAATAAAGAATTCTGCGTAGAAGCGTATTATGAATTGTCAAGGTTTAGACGTATTCAAGCCCCGGGACATGAGAGCATCATATTTACGCAACTTCAGCGTTTGGTTAAGGTGTCCTGCAGCTGGTTGACCCACCTAAGAGAACTGTGTTAGATTAGGCCACATTCCCAAAGCTTGAAGACCGTCAGGGTAGCATTCAATCCGAAAGCCAGCTCTCATGTTATTGCCAAAGATTTCAGGAATATCAGCCTCTCCTTGTTTCTATTGAAACGCTTGAGGCTTATGGACCTAAACCTCAGGGGCAGAATATCGGGAAACAATATATCAGGGTGGCGTTCGAACCTCAATATAAACCTCTCATATACTCTTCTTTGCGACAAAACTGTCATGATATCGCGATAGGTCAATATGGGCTCCTCGCAACGTAGGTTTCCTCTAGATATTGGTGATAAATGCTCTTTGAAAGAACCGGAGGAACGAAAGCATCTATGAGTTAACCCTAGGCACCTCAATTTGGTAGCTAGGTAGGTGGACAGAAACGGCTTAGCTGTCAACCCACCCATGCAAAAACTTTTTATTTACTAAAAGGCATACAATCTGTTCCTCTTGCCTTCAGCCTGTGTACAGGGTGAAAGGAAGCTGTAGTGTCGGCTTAATATTAAGAATAAAATAAAGAAGGCAACAGTTGCTCTATAATGCTGCAACGGAGCTATTGGGAAGAGTTTCTTACCAAAATTGGTGCTTTGGCTATATAAGTCGGTTGTTAAGCCAATGTTTTATGGTGTAGTTGTCTGGTGTATCACGCTCGAAAACTCGTTAAACAGCAGGAACGTGTTAGGAACACGGCCCTCATTGGTATCTGTAGTTCATTAACAACGTAGATATAGCCGGCGGGCAGTGCGGGTTCTAGACAGAAACGTTCTGAAATACTCTGCAGAGTAGGTTGTGGAACCTTCACCTAGTGGCTTATTTTTTGCTGAAATAATGGCAGCAGTAGAAGCAGTGCATCTAATACAGCTTTATTTGGATAAATGTGCACTCACTCCAATAGCAGAGCTTCTATACTGGCTCTGAGCTCGTTGGCAGTGCGCTAAAGGTTAGTAACGAAATATCTGCCCTTACAAGCAATAAAACCAAGTTACTTCGTTATCAGGCTTGTTTGAGTACCTGATATTAGCGGAATCTCTAGAAATCAGTCAGTGATCCGCAGGCCACTTTCATTTTACCACTAAATCTGCGCACCTCGTGTGAGCTCAGTAAGCGTTGGTTAGCAACCAGCACCTGAACATTTTTTTCGCCCAGAATGGAACGTAAGAGGTCTATTGAATTACTTGCTCTTAGTAAGGTTCATCAGGAGAAAGGTGAGGTTGAAACATCTAAACACCTTTTCCCACACTAACGAGCTGCGAACTAATTAAATTGGCTGCAATTGATATTAGCCGCGTCAACAAATTTGCAGTAGGCTTAAGGCACTTTGTGGATATCCGACGATATTTTATTTTCAAACTTAGGAATCCTGTGCATAACAACGGACCGGGGTTTTAACAGTCAAAGGGGGATCATTCGTGGCTTCACGAACATCAGCCTGATTACTTAACCTACCAAACAGAAAAACATGGCTTCATAATACACATTAAATATAGATGGATATATCTATCTACCAATTTACAGAACACTAAACATTTTTTGGGAACACTTTGCGTTGCATTGCCCATAAAACAAGGTTATTTAAAATGTATTTATATATAACAATGTGGCAATGATACTTTACATCACGCTTAATTGTTTGAACCAAATTTGATAAATTTCATAGCCAATTGATGTTTATAATACATTTTGAAAAGTAACTTTACTTGTAAGCTTTATACTATATTCAAATAATATTTATTATCTATTATAAAATTTACATACCAATTTTCGTTGGGCTTCTTCTATTCTTCGGTTGTTTTCAGCAAATATATCTTCCAGTTGCTCTCTTTTCTTTTTCTCGAACTCCTTTAAAATAATAATTAAATTTATTTTGTGCGCAGATGAAGTTATATAATAGGCATAAAGTATGGAAAATGAAGACAACTGTATTATAAAGATATATAAAATATCATAAACATATCATATCACTTTTCTATATCTTTATTTATATCACAAATAGTTTCATAATGAAATATTTACTGGATTTAACATAATAAGTGATTTGATATTATAACTACGAGAAAAATAAGCTTAAAATACTTAAAAAATCGATTTCTATTAATCCTGCTATACTACTAAAAATTGTACCAACTATGTCACCAATTTCCCGAAACGTTTTGCCTTCATCATGAAGTTTTATTATAAGTTTCCTCATATTAAGATCAATTTCTTTTGTTCCTCCCATCATAAATTTAACCTGTACAGAATAAATATGGAAAAAATTATCAGAGGCAAGTAACGATACTTTGGTTTACCGTTATATATGCCAAAAAAGTAATTTTAAAGTTTTAAATACCATTTATTTGGGAGCCTATGCTTTTGTACGCATAACATTTCTTATGTTATTACATATTAGCTTTTAAACTTTGCATGTTCGGACACACACAATGTGCAAAACGTTAAAAACCAAACAACGATAATGAGTAAGTATTTCCAAAACATAAATTTTATTTAAAACTACAACACGAAATGTTTACAAATTTTGAGAATATGTTAATTTATAATATAATATTTCAAATAAAATAATTTTTAAAGAGCTATTCGTTTATTATCTACTAAAAAAACGTAAAAAAAATTATAAGGATTTTCAATATAGTATCTGTATTTATTCTAACATATATGTATTTCCAACGATTTTAAAAAAATGGTAATTTAAGAAAATGGCAGACTTTGAAAATTTTAGATGATTTTTGGCCAGCAAAAATTAAAAGGCTCATACAATTGGAAAACTGGACCAATGCGAATGTTTTGTCTTCGAGTTAAAAATGCCCCTAATTTGAAAAATATTGTAACTCAAGAAATATTATAAATATTTGTTTGAAATTTTAGTAACACTTTTTAAAGGAAATTGTTGAATGTCTCGGTTTTTGGGTATTAAGCTCGCTCAAGGTTAACGCGAACCATAACTCACTTCCGTCTGTGTTTTTTGATATCAAATCGTTTTTGGGTTTCCGTGTTATTATCGTATTTTCATAAAAGATTTTGCCTCTATAGGAAAACCTTTAACTGGCATTCCAAATGGCGATAATGTGCAAATAAGTGTCAGCCTATCCAAAAATATGGCGGTCAGACGTGGTGAAAATCATATAGAGGGAGAGGTCTTGGTATCGGAAGAAGTTATATTACCCTAACCTCATTTCAAGAAGTATTGGGGTTGTGTTAATCAATTTCCGTTTCCGAAGTACGCTTACGGCCTGTTTTCGAAGATTTAATTTGGAATTTTCATTATATAAAAAAAATAAGATAAATCAACAGCAAGGCCGGAGATGTCAGCAATGGTTGTGATCAACTTTCTCCGCCGTCCTTATCAGGCTATACCAAACCCAAGAGTTGTCTGTAGAAAGTACGTGGGGGAAGAGTGAATATAAAAATATTAGCGATAAAATCCCGCCACCAAAATATGCGCTTACATCACTATAACTGCAAGCTCGACGTCCTAAATAACGGATGTTCACTGACCAGCAGTAACAGATTCACTAGTAGCGGTGGTAAAGAGTCGGCGTGAGCTACATTTCGTTCGAACGAAAATATCTTGTATCTCAACACAGTGAAAGCTTAGCTTTTTCCGCCATTCGGCATTAAATAAATATATTGAAACACTACTAAATTTTATATTGAACTAATTAAATAAACGCATTAATAAAGCTTATATACCTCTCGATGTCGAGCTTCTTCGCGAATTTGCTCACGTTGTTTTTCCAGTTCGAACATCAGCTCCCTCTCCATTTCAGATTTGGCGGCTTCTACTCTACGCATCACTTCTTTTTCAATTTCATCTTTACGCCTTATTAGTTCTTCTTCTACACGTTTTTTAACCAATAGCTCAATGCGCTTACTCGTTTCATCCGTAATCTAAGAAAATTTATATATAAAAAAAATTAGCGTGTTTTTTTGTTTTTTTATTTTAAAATAGGCCGTGTAAAAAATAGTTGAACAAAAATATTTGCATTGATTATCAACTGAGTGTCTGCAGAAAAACAACAGAATTGCAAAAATGCTGCAATTATCTGTTTCCTTATTGACCAATATTATAACAGGTGATCCAAGTAGAGGTACTTTTTTCAATAGCCTTTTTTTTACAGATCAGACAGATCAATGGCAAGCTGTCATGTTATTTTTGTTCAATATTGTTTGGCATTTCATCATGGAAAGACTTACGCTTGAACAACGTTGACAAACTGTTCAACTTTATTACTAAAATTCATGTCTGTAAAGAATGTGTTTCGCGCGGTTCGGTCAACTTATGTTCAATATAATCGACCTACTGAGCGTACTATTCGCAACACCATCACCCATCTTGAGACCCAGCATTCATTATTGCATAATAATATTACCGAATAGACCACGTCCACCACGCAGTGAAGAAAATATAGCGGCCGTAGCTGAAAGTGTACACGAAGACCGTGGAGAATCGATTCGGCGCTGTTTGCAGCAACTCGGACTGGCGTATGCAACGACTTGGCGAGTTTTACGTCGAGATCTTAAATTGAAACCATACAAAATACAGCTTGTGCAAGAACAAAAGCCGCTCGGCCTTCCCAAGCAACATCGCTTCGCTCTATGGGATCTTGAAAAGTTCCTAGAAGATCCGACGTTTTCGAGCCAAATTTTTTCAGCGATGAAGCCCATTTCTGGCTCAATGGATATGTAAACAAGCAAAATTACCGTATTTGGGAAGAAGAGCAATCTAAAGAGATTCAAGAGTGGCCATTTCATCCAGAAAAAACCACGGTTCGGTGTGGTTTGTTCTTCAAAAATGATGCCGGTGAGAACGTAACCGTCAATGGCGACCGTTATCGCGCTTGATAACCGACTATTTGATGCTTGAAATTAAAGTTGGTGTTCTAGGCGACATTTGGTTTCAACAAGACGGCGGCACTTCCCACATCTCGCATCAATCAATGGATTTATTGAGAGAACACTTCGGTAAGCAAATAAGTTCACGTTTTGGGCGAGTCATTTGATATCACACCGTTAGAATTTTTTCTGTGAGGATAAGTAAAGTGTAAAGTCTATGCGGATAATCCCGCTTCGATTCAGGCCTTGAAGCAAAACATCACGCGTGTCATTCGCTAGTTACCAGTCGAAATATCCGATCGAGGACTCAACGGAAAAACATCTGAGACGTAGCCGCGGCCAACATTTGAAAGAGATAATCTTAAAACAATAAATGCCAAAGAATGTTCTTTTGAATGATAATAAATATGTACCATTAAGTTTGAATTTTCTGTGGTTTTTTGTTTTACAGTACGAAACTTCGAAATGTATCACCCTATAAGTTCAACCGGAAATGCGAAAATATTTGAATCAGGTGGGAAGTGAAAGCATATCCGCTTTTACCCATTTATGACACAAGGGCACATTAACAGCACTAAGTAATAATCTTTGAATGTACTTGTAAGTAATAATAATCTCACAGATGGAATGGAAGCATACGTGGTTTTAGTAAAGCGGAGCTACGTCCCATGTTTTTTAAATTTTAAACTTCACGAAGACATCGGAGTAGGAACCCGCACAAATATTGTCTTTAAGATGTAGCAGTTCTCATCATGGTTAAAATCCGACTATAAATTTTCAAGTTCGTGCAACAGACCGAAAATACCGGTCAACCTGTGAGAAATCTTAATTATATTCAGAGAGCATCTTATCCTGATAGCGCAGGTACCAAAAATAAATAAAATCGGGTCAATAGATTATGATATCGTTTTATTAACCATATTGTGATTTTTTGCTAAATATAATTGAAATCGTTCCAGACGCTTGGTTAAGCCCTTAAATACCAAATAGACCTAACAGTATCGGCCCCTGCTGTTGACTTTCACCCCAAACGTTCGTTCCTGTATCTGAATTTAAATCGAATACATAAAATTTTTTCAATAAATCTCTGTGAAAATATTTTATTTAACATTCTCTCATTCGCTAATAAAAATTATGACTTTTGCTATGTACCTTCCCGAATATATTGAATATAGTGATTTGTGTTAGTTAGGCTAATATTAATAGAATATTGAACATGAAACAAAGGAAGAAATGAAGCTGAGTAAATCTATGGCATGTGGGTAAGACTCTATCAGAAAAAAAACGAATGCTATTGGTCTTCTAATAAATATAATATTTCTATATGAGTTACATTTAACCCTAAAATTATTTTGAAAAATGTTTAAATGTTGACCAAAACAACAGTAAAAAAATTAAGTTAATTTTTAGTTCATTTGGCCTAATCATTGAATTTTTATAAGCAAATATCGATCCTAATAATTATACCTTTCATTAAAATAAAATATAGTTTAGAATCTCCACTTCTTGAGATATTACGATGGCATGGCATACCACGCGACCCGTATACCATAGTCGTAAGTACCTCGTAGTAAGATACTATAGAAATGCAAACATGTGTTTATATTTGTTGCACAAAGAAAGATAAAAACGAAAATATATTTATAATAAATTATAGTTATAATAAATTGTTATTAAAAGTTTTTTTATTAATGCCAATTTTTTTTTATGATTTTTACATCATAATATAAATTTAATTTTTATCAAATCTTAAGTCACGATTTTTCGACTTCAAAATCAAACGTTTCAGAAGAAGAATATTTTCAACATTGAATTGTTTTTCCATCCAAGTTATTATACCCTGAACAGGGTATATTAACGAAATTTGTAACACCCAGAATGAAACGTCGGAGACCCTATAAAATATATACATAAATGATCAGTATGATGAGCTGAGTTGATTTAGCCATGTCCGTCTGTCTGTATATATACAAACTAGTCCCTCAGTTTTTAAGCTATCGATCTAAAGCTTTGCACCTCTCCTTTTCTCACTAAGAAGCTGCTCATTTGTCCGAACGGCCGATATCGGACTACTATAGCATATAGCTGCCATACAAACCGAACAATCGGAATTAAGTAATTGTATGGGAAACTTTTTTATTTTACGAGGTGTCTTCACGTAATTTGGCATGAGTTATTTTCTAAGGCAAAACTGTAATCTCCGAAAAAATTGTATAGATCGGATCACTATAGTATATAAATGCTATACAAATTGAACGATCGGAATCAAGTGCTTGCATGGAAAATTTTATCATTTGACGAGATATGTTTACGAAATTTGGCATGAGTTATTATCTAAGGTAATAATGCAATCTCCAAAGAAATTGTATAGATCGGATCACTGTAGTGTATAGCTGCCATACAAACTGAACGATCGGAACCAAGTGCTTGCATGGTAAACTTTTTCATTTGACAAGATATGTTTACAAACTTTGGCATGGGTTATTGTCTAAGGTAATAATGAAATTTCCGAAAAAATTGTTCAGATCGGACACTATAGTATATAGTTTCCATACAAACTGACCGATCTAAATAAATTTTTGTATGGAGGTAAGTAGAAAATAATGTTAAGAATATATACATAAGAGCAAGGAACAAAAATATTATTTAGTTACCCATAAAATAAATAAATCCCTAATTTTTCAAGATATATTCTTATTTATTAATAATAATAGAGAACTAACTATGTAAACATAATTGGATAATTAATAATTAAGTTTTAAATCCCTAATTAACTGCTGGGTCGGTACAAAACAAAACCTAGGTAGAAGAGTAGGTAGGAAATAAACATAGTTCCAAGAACAGGTAGAAAGTATAACCTAGTTAAAAGAAACCTCTTCAATGCACCTTTTGTAATTAACGCCTTAACATTCCTACGAAAGTTGCTTGATGACACCAAGAAGGGCAAAAGAGTTTACAGACGTGAAGTCGGGCTCTAAGATATTCAATAAATAGGGCGCAACACATCGGATCACTTCAGTTTACGGGAGCAGGTTAAACTTTAAACAACGCAAACAACTTTCAAAATCAACGAAAATAATCCTTTTTTAAATAATACGCATTTTTTTAATTATATTATTATTACTTAATTTATTAATATTTTAGTATTTTTTTTATTTCTATAATATTTTTTTAATCATTTTTGAAATTCATTCAAATAGACGTTTGATTTCGAAATATAGAGCTGAAGAGCAGGTACACGACACCGCGGAACACTCAAACAGACGAATGAATCCTGAATATAGGACAGCGGAGCAGGAGCGCGACACAGTAGGACATTCGAACAGGCGCTTGAGTCCGGAATATAGAGCTGAAGAGCAGGAACGTAACACCGTAGAACACTGAAACAGACGAATCCATCCCGAATACAGAGCAGCGGAGCAGGAGCGCGACACAACAGAACATTCGAACAGGCGCTTGAATCCGGAATATAGACCTGAAGAGCAAGAACGTAACACCGTAGAACACTCAAACAGACGAATCCATCCCGAATACAGAGCAGCGGAGCTGGAGCGAGACACACTGGGACATTCGAACAAACGAACGAATCCTGAATACAGAATAACGGAGCAGGAGCGTGACACAACAGAACATTCAAACAGGCGCTTGAATCCGGAATATAGAGCTGAAGAGCAGGAACGCAAAACACTCAATTAGACGAATAAATCCTGAATATAGAGCAGCGGAGCAGGAGCGGGACACAATGGAACGTTCTGTACGGCGTGAGCAAATTCAAACGAGCAATAATCAATGTTGGAAAGAGTACAATTGCATAGATCGGATCCCGCAAATCGTCAGTTAGAAAGCGAAAGTCAAATCAGGAGGAATATAAAAAGACCTCATGAACTTGCACAGCTAGAAGAACAAGAACGTCAACGTCGAGCTGCCAATATCTTTGATATGTACGCATTGTTGATAAAGAAAGGACCCACAGAATACATGTTCCAGGTATTTCGACAATCGATTCCGCCAAATGCTAAAATTATTACAAAACGGACTGTTTGGAGAGCAATTAG